TTGAAGAGGCCGATTTTCTATTTGGCCGCGTATATTGATAATAATTAATATTATTATTACTATTTATACTATAATAATAATAACAGTAATAATAATAATAAAAACTTTTATTATTATTATTATCATTATTATTTAAGAGCCTATCAAGTCAGTTCATTAATATCAACATCAGAACTGGCTTCACGCGTAAAAAATGCATGGGTCCTGTTTCTTTGCGACTGGGGATAAGTTTCGGCTTAAAATACCGTAAAATTCCGAAAATAAGCCCCGGGGCTTATATTTTTCAAAGGCCCTTTTCGAGGGGCTTATTTTTGGAGGGGCTTGTATTCGGAGGGGCTTATGTACCGAGGGAAATTTGCGTTTCCAAATCGATTGGGCTGGCCTAATTCTTGGAAGGAAATTTACCGTTTTTCTTTGTTTTACCTTGTATTTGAGGGCAATTTCCAAGTACAAGCCCCCGGGGGGCTTATATTTGGAGGGGCGTTTTAACGGAGCGTTTTTTGCGTTACGAGTTTGGGGGGCTTATATTTGGAGGGGCTTATACGTGGAGGGGCTTATTTTCAGAATTTTACGGTAGCCGTTTTAAATTCCATACACTGAATGGAGAAGAGGATGAAAGTGAAGGCACCATTGTCAGCTGAACAGAAATTGTTTTTATTCGTGGAAGTAGACACACTAGCTCGACACCTTGGTTTTTGAGCCTTTCATCAAGCGACTAGGAAACGTCAGTTTTCATTTCTAACTTTGTGATTCTGTGTTATTAAAAATTAATTGAAACGCGTAAACCACTAGGTAGGAAAATAATGAATTCAGAAGGATAAATAAATTGAATTCATACTTGCTGGCGACATTTATAAGAAATTAAACTTATTAAAGAGCGGATGAAGTTTGGAGCGGAACAGAGACAATGAAGAACGCCCACATAAGCTTAAAAAAGGCGATTAAAATTATCATATTATATTTATCATATTTTAAACTTTAACGAAAACATAATTTAAAAAACTTTTCAGTCAAATGCAGACTTGACGAAGCAATTCTTCAGCAGCAAGGTTGCGAGCAATACAGGTAAAACAAGAACATGCGAGACAAATGAAAATATATTTGGCCTTGTTCACGATTTTTCTTCTGGTGTACATGTCAAATAACAAGGAAAAAAATGAAAAAACGCCTGAAACGATGTCTGCCATGTCTGACTTCAAGATGGGAGGCCCCAGAGCGAGTAAAACACAAGTAACCTGGGACCCGTTTCTCGAAAGTCCCGATAATTAAAGTGCCCGTTAAGCCGGTCTCCGTTAACATTAAAGATTGAGGTTTCAATAGTTTTGCATCTAACATGATAAAACAATCAGTTAATGAAACAAAATGGAGTAGTTTGAAGCCAGGAAAGGCGCTCCTATTCTTTATATTTCGATTTGAATATTTGATTTCGGGCCCGAAAAGTTACCGGGACTTTCGAGAAACGGGCCTATGAAAACCCTGGGGAAGTCTCTACAAACTCCATCAAACCTATTCTGCAATAAAATCCAGCTCTGGATCGAAAAGTTAAGAGGACCTTCGAGTAACAGGTCTTGCTCGCGTTAATATAGCGGCGTTATGAGTTCGCCTGGCTGCAAACGGCGGACCACTTCTTAACTCATGCAGCTTTTATCAAGAACGAGAAGTCCAAAGACTACTGCAAAGCTAATTTAGAACAACGTGTATTGTTTTTTCATAACAATATTTCGGCTGGCCATACCAGCCTTCTTCAGGCTTACAGATGTTTCTGTTACAGATGCTACTTTTATCAACCATTCACGTTTTGGCGTAACACCCTCCAAAGTTCATTTAATTCCTCGAATCTCAAATATGTATCGATGGTAAGTGTAAACTCGCTAGATATAGCAAGGATCCTGTAAATTGTCATACGCTCTGAGAGCATCAATCGTAGCTCACACTCGCAATTTATACTGACGAGATGCCTGCAGGGTTTGCATTCCTTCGGGAAGTGCGCCACTATCTTTTAGAGTTTTTCTATGACAACTTGACTTTTAGAAAACGAGGACAAGTAGTCTTTTTGTTTTAGAAGAAACCAATTAGCAAACTACCTTTCATTCTATACCAAGCAAAAAAGAAGCGTTTTAATTTATTCACATCTTGAATTCACAAACTTCGCGTTGAGAAAAAGAACAGGAAAAACCAGATTTAACTGATGGCAAAAATAGTTCTTTTAAAATATAATACAAAAAACGCCCATTCGCAAAACCAAAGTGCCACAGGGTGTAGACATGCAATTAATAAACGAGGAAGGCTCTGTTTGTTCAGCATATTGCAATAAGAGGACGTTTTTAGTCATGGAAAGAAGTTATTTTTTGTAAAGATAAGAGCTGGATACACAATTTGTAGCGAAGCACCATGGGTAAGAAAATGTGGTAGTCTACCGATCCGAGAAATTTTGGTAATCACGTGACCGTCCGTCCGCACCACAGGCATACCAATGTAAAATAACTCAATCAACAGGTATGGCAACCCAAATGCAACTCGAGGTTATTTTGGCGGGAAATCGCGCCTTGTAAAGCAGAGACAACTAAAGAGTCACGAAAGACTTAAAGGGAAAGCGGAAATTGTTTATGTATCCGTGTCGTCTAAAGTATTAAGCTTAGATTAATTGTCATGTCCACAAATTTGGAATATAGAGCTAGAGAAAGTGGCCGGCAGGTCAGCGAAGCTCAACGAGGAAAAGGGCGATAGAGATCTAGAGCGAGTGACAAAAAAACAAAGAAGACATTTTTTTGTTGGAAGAACAACGTGAAAATTTTGTAGCGGCGGTGGGGAAAATGAGAAATACTAGCGGCCACTAATGCAAGGTGAAAATAAGCGGCAGTGAAGAAAAAAAGTGAACGAGAAATTTACAAATTTCACGATTTTTCGTCAGTCTTCTGCTATTTTCACAACTTGCTCCCCTTTGTTATGCAAATAGCAACACATCCTCAAAGTGGCGCTGCCGATTTTACAATTTTAACGGAAGTTGCAAAAATTACAAATCTCACTTTTTATCGCGATTTGGTCACTGGGTCACAACTGTTCTCTCTTTGTTATAAGGCAGTTGTTTGTTTTACATAGTTTAATATTTCTTTACTGACAATCCGCAGTAATACCTCTACGGTTATATTGGTTCCATGCATAATCCATGATCAACTCTAAGCGAGGAGGCGAATATTCGATCATTTTCATATGGGAATCACACCCTTCCCGCGGCTCCCAACAGATCTTCTTTGAACCGTGTACCCATAGGGTACATGCATTGTTGTGATTTGTTTTTGTAAATGGATCGTAAGCGTATTCACTGCATAATACCAAGAGACTAGTAAGAATGCTTGAAATTCGTTTTAAACTTTTGTGGGCAAATTTTGCTTCTTTCGCAGGTTATCTGCATAAGCAATTGTTTAGCTTTTTCTTTTACAACTTTTAGGAGTTACAGGGTGACTGCATGGGGATGCTGGAATCACCGTTGGCTTTTCTCAGCGGTATCAATAGTTCTTTAACCTTAAGTCTCAGTTCTTTATTGTTCTTAATCCCTCTCACTTCTCAGCCGACAGTAAAAATTTTGACAAATTCGCAATGTGTCAGTGTATGTCCTCCACTAGGCCTCTTCCAAAAACTCTTTTTCACTAGATCTGATCATAGAACATATAATTAGTCTCTTTTTTTACTCATGCAAAAGGATACGTTTGTTATAAAATTTGACAACTTACATTCTTGCCACTATTTAAGCAATAGAAAATTTTTCCGTGTTTGCATAGCCTGTTATAAACACGAGAGGGGTTGGGAGAATTCGAGACAGTTATGCAAACCCGAGACGAAGTCGAGGGTTAATTTTTGCATAACTGTCGAGAATTTTCCCAACACCTCGAGTGTTTATATCAGGCTATGCAAACACAGAAAAAAAGTTTTCTATTGCTTTTATAAAAAAACTTTCCCAAGAAAAAGCGCAAAACTCTTTGTATGGCACTGATTAAAAGAGAAATTCTTACCAGTTGCAAAGTCTTGTCCACGAAGTCTTGCACGCTTAATCAGTTCTTGTTTTGCAAAAAGATGCTTTCCAAAATAGGGATTTTTCTCGCTTAAAATGTCAACTTAAGTGAAGAAAAATTGACACACCTTCTTTGCAACGATTTTTCAAGTTGCAGCCGACAAAGGAATGGGTAAATGAACTCGAAAACTTTTTCAAATTCGTGCTTGCGTGATTAGCGCGCGAAAAGCAAGAACATCCTGACGCCACAACCATGTTTACACACTGTCATGCAAACACTCCTCTCGGCCAATCAGAGCGCGCGTACTATCTTAGTTATTTTATAAACTATTTTATAACTTATTTTTACATAAGCTTGGATTCCTTTGTTCTTTTCGGGGGGAATATATTGCATAACCCCCGACGCTATAATTACTAAAATGAAACTGAGCTGCGTTTCTTTTGCGCTACATTCACGGATTTTCTTAGTTGTTGGTTCATCGATTTTCACAGCCAGAACGACAGTTCGAAATTGAACAGCGTCTTTAAAATTCTACGGTTCCACGAAAGTGTCGCTGTCATGGTAAGGTGTTCCGTTCTTTAACCAGTCATCCCAAACTAGTGTAGTCTATGAAGACATGTAGTTGACCTCTTTGTGTTTTGTGGTATTCTTGCTTCATTCCTCGACGGAATTTCCTTGTAAGTTACAGTAGTGATCCCTCGCACGGAATCTTCTTTGTATGTAAACATGAAGGTCGGTCGAAAGATCCTCCGTGCAAAAATCGAAATTGTCAACTGGTTGCTCGTTTTCTGCACCCGCAAATGAAGATTCAAATTGTTTTCCGAAAGCTCCTGCAGTACCGCCACTGAAGCTGCTTTAGTTTGAGTAATAAACGCAGCGTTTCCGTGTTGTTTCGGAGCAAAGAAAGACCGACGAACGAGATTCTCGGTTTTGGCCGCGCGAGAAATGAAACGAGAGCCAAAAATGAGGGGGAGGGGGAGGGTAACTGAA